ATTTTAGAATTGGCACTGCGTGCAGGAGATCTGTGTTACTACAGCATTTTTATCAGTTTTGTATCTGTTGTTTATTGGTAGAATGAGTAGCCCTGGACAGGTGACTGTGCACACAATCAGCACTTATGCTAGTGCTTGACAAAGGTTCATATAAAGCCCTGTGCATTTTTTATGTTCATCTCTTCTAACCATGGAGCCATTTGCTGCTCCATCCAACTACTGACATCTAGTTTTATTTATTCCAAACAAAGTGGAAACTAAATCCATCACTTCCCATGTTGACTCTGGAGACATGTGCAGGTAATTTAATATTAAACAGAGTGGTTTGATATTATACAGATGGACTGCTACAATGTGAGGTGCTCAGTCGCATCTTAGCTAAATATAATGAACATGCTGCTGTTTGTACCTGGCCAAAGCAGATCCCAGGACAAAGGCAGAGCTTTCCTGTAATCTGAAGTCAGAGCTGTTCAGACCTTCCAGCATAAACTGGAGACCTCCCAGTGAACAGAGGGTCTGAGCATTATCCACCTAACACACACACACAGGTAAAGTTAGAGACTGAACTCTCAGAGCACATATGTGTAGGTTTGAATGGGAGTTGTGTTACCTGATGCACCAGGTACTCCAGCTCCAGCAGGATGTTCAGCCTCTGCTCTGTGGTCGAGTTGCTGCTGTTAAACTGGGTCAGCAGTCGCCTCATGATCTACACACCACAACACACTTCATTCAGCATACCCTACAACTACAATCCAATGACAGCTGTCCTGCAGCTGCTTCACAGTAAGACCCATAACTAGCTCTCTTGATGCAAGCCTTAACTGTGCAGCAGCTGCAAGAAGTGGCAGAGCTGCTGTGTGACCTGTGAAAAGGTCTAACGTTGTGAGCCCTCTGCATTATGAGCTGAAACTATGCCAAAGCTTCCATTCAGCAAACTATATTCTAGCCTCAAACGCTTGATTAAAACTATAGCATAATAGTACTACGTCTAGTATTCTGAGGCAGGTACTGAAGGATTAGCCCTGCAAATAATTTTCCTTCTTAATTAGCTGGTTATTTTCTCTATCAATCAATTCATCATTTACTTTATAAAATGTAGAAAGATGTAAGATGTGGAGAAGTGTCATGTAGGACCAAGAAAAGCAGCAAATCCTCCCATTTAAGAAGCTGGAATGAGTGAGTATTTTCTGTCTATCCACTAACTGACCGTTTCCAGTCTCCTACTGACCTCTGATTAGTTTCTAATTCATGCAGGTTTCCAGGTTACATGTAATACGACACGGACAGATCCGTTTTGACTACAGACTCCTGTACCTGAGCATCTGTCTCCACCAGCAGCTCCAGCTGTGCCATGTCTCTCTTTAACTCTTCAAGGGGACGATACTTATACGCCACAGAGTCCTACAAACACATCCAGTCCAGCCTGAGTGTGATATGTTCTTTTAGTCATGAATTAAAGGGTGTACACACTTTTTCACATTTTGCTTAAATAACAAGATTAATCAATTTTAGTGTTAATAAAACATACTGTGTGTTTCAAAGGGACAACCTATTACATTAATTAAATAGTACAACAAATGTACCTCCAATATGACATATTTTTGGCAGTGATTTTATGACAGTAGAGAGTTTCCAATCAGGGTACTGACTGGCTTCAATAAGTTTAACGATGGCAGTGGATCTCTACTGATAGGCTGCATGTGACCAGGCAGCTCACAAATCACTCGTCAGGTGTGCAATGTACCTCACCAAAATCCAATTTGACATTAATGTGTATGCTGTACATGTGTCCTGTTGGTCTGTGTCTTTGCTCACAGGGTTCATGTCCTCCTGTATTTTCTTCATGGCTCGTTTGAGCTCATCAGGACTGAAGGAGGACTGGGTCTCTTCAGCCTCCCTGCAAAGACAGACTGTTATTGCTTGTCTAATATTCAGATTTTGTCTTGCTCCAACCTCCTTGTTAGCTTTGCTGGAGATAAACCGAAGAACACCCACTCTCTGTTGCTTCTACAGAGTATCAAACCGCCGGCACTTGATCTTAAAGAGTCAGACCCATACCCGTGTTCCTGTGTCCAGTACTTCAGCTGCTGTTCTCCCAGTCTGACCTCCCTCTGCCCTGTCTGTAGATTCAGCCTCACATGGGACCCTGCTGGCACGGCCTGGCCTATACACGCACACACACATGGTCTAGAACAGAATAAGAGGTCTTTTGACTACGACAGTACCAGAACACCCTCCTGTACGTTACCTGGTTTGAGAGTTTGCCAATCCTCAGTAGGCTGGACCGCATCTAAATCTCCTTCATCTTCATCAACCCTCACCTCCTCTTCTTCTCCTCCTTCTGTATTCTCCACCAAAATTAAGGCAGACTGCACAGACACAGAAACAGACTGCCTGACCACAACTTTCTGGAATTTTGGATGATATTTATTATGCCTGCTTGTTTTTTAGGTTGGGACTGGTTTACTTTCCTGGCAATGGTCTTAGATCAGTAAATAAGACCTGACTCCCTTTTCAGTGTGTCTCTTCCTGCACAGTGGTTACACTGTCTCTGGTAATCCCCAAATAAAGATTTTCTTAAAAGGACCAGTGTTTAAGATTGGCAGTATATGGCAGAAATGGAATATAATATTCACGTACAGTTGGACGTACAGTTTGTTCACATTCGCCTACAGTTTATAATCTAACCAATATGGTTACATCTCTCACGGGTATCCAACGAAGGTTTAAGAACAGAATACCACCCAGCAGCTAAACAATCCCCCTTGTTTCATGTTCTGTCCACACACTGAACGTGGTGTTATATTACAAAGTTTCCAAATATGACTATGTGTAGGGCATTTGTCTGTTACCAACTCCAGCACAGCCAGAACTTTAAGATATTTGTTATTCAGACCTGAGTTAGATGAGATGTCTGATCTGTTGCATGTCACTTATGACCCTTAGAATTGACTGACTTCTTAACAAATTGAATATGACATGAAAAAAGTAGAATCCAAGTTAACTCACCTCTTGGCCAAAAATACTGGCTATGTGACAGCAATGCATCCACAGGAGAAGCGTCAGAGTTACGTAGCTGAATGAAGCTCCTCTAGCATTACTAGTTGTCAGCCTCATGGTGACTGAAACACAGCAGAGTACAGAGCACATCAGTGCTACTGGCCTCACATCCTAAAGACTGGCGGACAAAGTGATAAGACCTGGATCTGCCTGATCAATGTCTCATCAGGCCAAACTCAGGTTTAACGTATGTAAGATCTGTTTTTATGTTTGATTAACCATTTTAGAGTGGAATTCACTGCTGTGGAGAGTAAGAACAGCACGTGCATTTGTTATGATTACATTACTACTTACTTTTGATCAAAAACTCGACAACTACACAGCCAAACATCAAGCAGGTGCCACAACACAAGGCACAGCAATATTACTGACTAGTCCCACAGAAGGCAGACCAGCTGGGCATCTGTCCTTTTAGCTCATAACAATGAGTAAGAGCCAGTCCAGGACTCACAAAAGAGGAGGCAAGACTAAATCACGTGTGTGCCGACTCAGCTGGGATGATATTACATGAGAACAGTTCATCTACAGGAGAAACAGATCTGAAAGTAGGACAGAATATGTGAGAGCTGCACTGCATTAGATTCTGTTTTGAATTGTCAGCTGTGGCCTGAATTTTGTGTACCTTTATAATATAAATAAAGACATTTCCACACATGGTGCTGAAATTTCACCAAAATGCAGGAAATTAAGTCTTTAATGCACAAAATGTTGTGGAGGGTGACCCCCAGACCCCCTATTTAATAAGTGTCCCCAGCAATTTTGAAGCTAAACCTACGTTCTTGCATTTCAACGACAAAATTAATCCATAAATTCACCAGAATGCAAGAAAACAGCTTGGGGGGGGCATTACAAGATACAGGGTTAGGTTTGGTCTCCTGATTTAGGCTGAGGTGTCTGATGGTTGGAAAGTATGCTGATCACACGGCTTTAAAATTGGGAGTTAGGCAGCTGTGCCCTGTGTTTAGTCCACCTGTGCAGTTGTGACTGGGACTACAGCGTGAGCAGCTTTGTGAGCAGTCACCGATGGATATTATTAAAGACATTACGTCATCAGCTATTTAACGGCAGCTCCAACTCACCTGTTTTATTAAACGCTCAGAAGCAGCCGGTCTTCTTCAAGCAAACGGAACATGAACATGACTGAACACACCGAGGGCTGCTTCTGTCGCTTTCCACTCTCATTGGTCCACGTGAACCACCTTCTTCTTTGGAAAAAGGTGTTAAAGCGATTGGCAAACAAATCAATTGAGCACTACTGCCACCAGCTGGTGTGGAGTGGAAATAGGCCTAAAATTATACATTTATTTCATGTACAGGAATGGTCGGCAATGGGCGATCCGCGGGCCAGAACCGGCCCGCCAGCAATAATATCTGGTCCGCGTCCAGATTGCTTTGATAGCATAAATAAAAAATAAATAAATTGAATTCAGCTGGTGCTGAAATAGATTTTAGTCATGACAGCTACTCATATAATCACTTCCTCTTAAAGGGGTATGTTACAGTTCTTATCCAATACACTTTTTGATGTGTGAAGTGATTGTCCCTCCAAAAGCGCGAGAACGTTTTGGCAGCAATGCTTTATGACGAGTTTATTGAGAGCTTTTACTTTGAAGAATTCTGAAGGACATTCAAAAGAGACTCTAATTGCTTGACACACCTCTGAAAAAGCAGTTAGTAAAGTGAGATTGGATTCCCCTGAATTTCCTCAGGGAAATTAAAAGGTTTATGAATGCGGACCAAACGCGGGACGCGCACACACACTGCAGCACATGCTTTGTTGTGAGCATGTGCAAGTGCCCTTATAATCAATTTGTTTAACAAGGGAGAAAACAATATATCCGCAGTTAGTTGGAATTGATCTTACAACCTTCCTAAAGGCTCCTTCACTCTTCCTCAACTTTTCATTCAGTGACTGGAGAAGAACAGAGGCAAAATCCAGCTCAGTGTTTTTGTTTTTTATTTACAATTCACAATTGTACAAAATCTCATCAGGAAGTTGTTTGCCAAAACCATACAAACATAAAAGAGAACAGCAAGGCTATGATTAAAACAAACTATATTAATATAATATATTAATAAAATAAACTCACATGGTTAGGTAACTTAGGACACAAAAAAAACTAGAAAATTTAAATAAAATAAACAATTAAGAAATTATAATTAAGGCACATTATTACCATTCCTTCAACAGTTATTGTTTAGGTCTTCTTTCTGTGTCACCATATCTTTACAGTGTCATACATTTGTAGTTTTGAGAGTTTTGTCATTAGTTACACATCGAAAATGTAGCAGATTATTTCCTTTTTCCAACAAACAACCAGAGAAAACAAAACAAAAACTATCTCAAGTTTTAGCTGAGGGTAGACTTATTGATGAACTGTACATTACTACGAATAAGTTACATTAAGTTTTGAGAACATCAGTTATTGTTCCAAACCCATAACAAAGGTAATCCAGGTGAAATGATCTGTTTATTCTAAATTAAAACACCAAATATTGCAACATAGTGTGACACAATTTTTGTATTGGCTGGTGTGTATCCGACAATACTAAAAAAAAGATAAATAAAACTTTAATTCATTCCTGAAGCAATTCAACGAGGGTTTCTGCTTCTTCCATTTGCATACGTGAATATGATATTTTCCCATAATTCCCATCGTTCCTTGGACAGGTTTTCATTGTATAATAAAATCTGGTGTGCTTCAAAATTATTTAAGTTCTCAATCCTGACATTAAGCTAGTCTTTCATGTTTTGCCAGAATTGTATCGTAATTTGACATGAGAAGAAAAGATGTTCAGTAGTTTCCGGCTCTTACAGACAGAAACAACAGAGGTCAACCTCAAATCTGAATCTTTTTCTCAATGTTTCTGCTGCTGGATAATAACCATTAATAATTTTAAATTGCATTTCTTTTGTTTTTGGAGAAATCGGTCATTTTAGGTATTCATATTTATCTTTTTATATACAGTCTATGATATTTATCCTTGATTAGTAATTTATTATCTATTATTTTAATGTTTACTTTTTTGCATCATGAAAGAATTTAAGGTTGAAAACTTTGCGAATAGCTTTATTCTTGCATTTCCTATAGCTGATTTGTAATTGTCCAACCTTTAAATCTGGCAAGACTACTTGTACACTTGATTGTAAGATCGTGTTTTGTATTAGGTTCACAAGAGGTAGTGGTATTGCTTTACATATTTTGCTGAACACTGCATTTTAAAATTTTCTTTAAATGAAAGAATAATTGAAAAATCCTGCCACTATCATCCATTAGGTCTGTTATAAAAATAACTTTTTTGTCATACCAAATTTGATTAAATAAGGTTTTCCTATTAATTGTTAACTGTTCTATTGTTCCACAAGGTGGTGCCATGTGGAGTAAAATTGTGGGAAAATATCATCTTCCAGTAGAATAGTACTTGTTTATGAAATTCTGACACCTTCACAGGTAGTTAATTAATTAATTTCGAAGTCGCATTATAACAAACATTCTAACCCTTCCATTTTTTAAAAATATGTTTCTGGGGATAGGAAACCAAATTGATTCAGGCTGTGACATAAAGGCTTTGATACAATTTATTCTAAACACTCCTACCATGGATTCAAAGTCTAGTGTTTTTAGACCTCCTTTATTATTTTCTCTGACCAGATGTGATTTTTTTAAATAGTGCGTTTTGTTTCGCCATATAAAGTTATATATTCGCTCAGCACCTCTGGTCTGTACTACGAAGCGGGGTAACTGGCTTATTCATGTAACTTCAGGAGTAACTTCGTGACGTCGGGTGTAACTTCCCGATTAACCCATACTGTAACCCATAACGCATGGATAGGTGTTACCCGAGGTCTGTTGCCATGGCAATTTACGCCGCATCTCTAAATTAAGCAGGTTTTGTTTGTGGTTAACTTGAGGTTATCTTGTATACGCGGACTACACACCGCATCTGTACTCAGTGTTAATGATGAGAAGTAGGATATTAATACACACCACTTCAGAAAATATGTTTAGATTTCATCCTGATTTGCTCCACTGCGGTTGCAATGAAGTTCTGAACACAACAACATTCAGAGAGCGAGCCCTGCAGCCTCAGTGAATCTTAATTAATTAACGGGATAGTTTCGTAGATGTATTGGGCGGATTGAGAAGAAAACGGAGTAATTTCTTATTATTTATTATGACATTAATTTCGGGGAATTTCTGATTTTTCTTCTTGTAAATTTCACACTTTCATAGGATTTTTTTTTCTCGGTTATTAAACCCCTCCCGATTTTTTGGACACGTAAAATAATCTATCAAAATATGTGAAAACACTTAGGAGAATTCAATTATAGACTACAGCAGCAATAAATAATGCAATTCGGTCATGGAACAAATGCTTATAACCAAAATAATGAGTACACTATAGAAATACGTGTTTTTACAACACTAATTCTTTCTGTCTGTGCCACAGTGATGAATGGTGATGATAAGGAGCTGGAGAGCATATAACCCACCAAGGAACTGGTACCAGTAGTATATCAAAAAAGAAATCAATGAACATTCAAATGGATTTTGGCTCAAACAGCGTGATTAAATGCCAATCTGTTATACCATTGAATCTTTCTTGTGTGTTGCCAGCTGCTGCTCCATCATCATCACTTGCTGGTGTTCCTGGTAACCAATAGTGTTCATGAACTGATTTTGTCAGTAGTGAGGGGAAGTACCCATTTCTGTCTTCATGCAAGAAAAATCATATTGCTTTCCCTGCTTAGACATATAAAGGCTAAAGAAGAGTATTTTAATTGACCATCGATCCATACAAAAATGTGTGAATGAATAGTGTATAACTATTATGTTTCCAATAGTTTATTTAAATATAATGAAGTACCCCTTCAATTTCTAAGACTTAGCAAGTGAAGTAATATTTTAGTGGTCTTTGTCTTAATCAAGAGCGACTGTTGTTTCTAACTGACATAATAACGTCTGTTTTAGTACCCTCTGCTTCACTGTCCAGACCACCTGCCTGTCACCCAAAGGAAACTGCTGGAGCCACTGGTACATGGTAATTACAGTGTAATGTCATGTTAATCAATAAAATGTATTGCCTTATGCTCTGTGGTAATTCTGTTATACTTCGGTCATATACTGATAAATGCTTTTGCTTATCTTGTTGTCTTTCTGTCTTTGTAGCCAATATTTATATATTCAGTTGTATTTTCTTCTAAACAATGCTGCACTGTGGCCTATATGATTGTTATACATCTTGAAGGCTGTGCAGCTGTGGTACAAATATGGTAAAAAGTGAATAAATAAAGATGTAATATAAAGTAATTAGAGTTTGTTGGTTTTAATTGAACCATACATTGATCTTTTCAGGAACCCTCTCACCTTCTGAGACCTCTTCTACACCTCATACACCTGAGCCGCCACACAGTAAGATGTTTTCTTTACTCTGAAGATGTTACTGTGGCTAAAGTATGCTTTAAGTCCTTGAAAAATTATAACATCTCATTAATTTAGTTTTTTCTTTTTTCATCTTTGTTCTCTCAGCTGGGCATTCTGCTGTTGTTCCCCCACCAACACACAGACCAGCCCCTCATACACCCGAGCCACCACACAGTAATGGACCAGCTACACTGAGTGGGTACTATTACTACTACTATTACTGACGGCCGATGCATCGGCAGAGGAAATGGTATCAGATGTCTGGAGCTGAGGAGCAATGCCATCAGCGTTGCTGAAACGGTGAGTTGTGCACTCAAATTATTTATTCACACTAGCGAACTAACGTTCATTAATGAAGTAAAATCGTTTATTAATTAACATGGCATGTTGTCTGTGTGTGAGTGAGTATTTACATCCTAATAATTAATTAATTTCAATTTGTGGGGCAGGTTTGAATCCAGCCATGGGCTCTGTGTGGAGTTTGCAAGCAAGAGGCAAGCAAGAAATGACAAGAGCAGCTGTACAATCATAGGTCGTAGCTACTCTGATGATGAAAACTTACATACTGTATCAAAACTTATGGTAAATTTTTAATACTTCTCTGCTTGTTTTTGTCATCTAGCGGCTCATTAACATGGAGGTCCTGAGAGCTCAGCGCACTGAAACTTAAGAAGACACATTATACATACATATTATTTAACACATCTCAGACTTAAGATCAGCAGAGACAGAACATTATAAGCTTCGTAAAGGTCGATCTTAATGGCAGGGCTGTTGGTTGTTCCGCTTAGGTTGGCTTTTTAGGGCCCGAGCACGACCGTGCGAGGTCCCTATTGAATTTGCTCGGATTATTAGGGCCCGAGCACGACCGTGTGAGGTCCCTATTGAATTTGCTCGGATTATTAGGACCCGAGCACGACCGTGTGAGGTCCCTATTGAATTTGCTCGGATTATATATATTTTTAGGGCCCGAGCACGACCGTGTGAGGTCCCTATTGAATTTGCTCGGATTATTTTTTTTTTAGGGCCCGAGCACGACCGTGCGAGATCCCTATTGAATTTGCTCGGATTATTAGGGCCCGAGCACGACCGTGCGAGGTCCCTATTGAATTTGCTCGGATTATATATATTTTTAGGGCCCGAGCACGACCGTGTGAGGTCCCTATTGAATTTGCTCGGATTATATTTTTAGGGCCCGAGCATGACCGTGTGAGGTCCCTATTGAATTTGCTCGGATTATTAGGGCCCGAGCACGACCGTGTGAGGTCCCTATTGAATTTGCTCGGATTTCTTTTTTTTTTTAGGGCCCGAGCACGACCGTGCGAGGTCCCTATTGAATTTGCTCGGATTATATATATATATATATATATATATATATATATTTTTTTTTCTGCAAAGTAGGCCCAAATGACATGGCCTAAACATACTCGAAAACTCACCAAAATTTGCAAACATGTCAGGACCGGTGAAAAATTTCGTATTCTACAAGTTTCGCACATGGGCGTGGCAAAATGACTCGCTAGCGCCACCTAGAAAATTGGAAAAGATTAGCCCCTCGTTCACGTTCAACCTACATGTACGAAATTTTCTGGGGACATGTATCGTATCAAGACGCACAAAAAAGCCTCAAGAACCCATAGCCTAAATCAACAGGAAGTCGGCCATTTTGAATTTTATGGCCATTTTTGGATGATTTACACACTTCGTACTTTAACGAACTCCTCCTAGGGATTTAGTCGGATCGACCTCAAATTTCTGCTGTGCCTTCTAAAGGCATTGAAGATGAAAAGTTGTGCTATTTGCGAGTTTTCGTCAATGGGCGTGTCCGTGGCGTCGATGATTCGCTATGAAACAGGAAGTTGTTGTAACTTCAGTGTACATGCTCACATCCGGACCAAACTGTACATGTAGGATGAGAGTCCCGCCCTGAACACATGTACATGCCGACATTCACCCACAGTCATAGCGCCACCTGCTGGCAACAGAAAGTGACCTTTAACGAAGCAGCCCCCGCCGCACGTTTTACCTACGTGCACGAATTTTCTGTGGTACGTGTATCTTGTCCAGACGCACAAAAAAGTCTCTTGGAGCCATAGCCTAAACCCAACAGGAAGTCGGCCATTTTGAATTTTACGTCAAATTTTGGATGATTTACACACTTCGTACTTTAACGAACTCCTCCTAGGGATTTAGTCCGACCGACCTCAAATTTCTGCTGTGCCTTCTAAAGGCATTGAAGATGAAAAGTTGTGCTATTTGCAAGTTTTCGTCAATGGGCGTGTCCGTGGCGTGGCGTCAAAGATCAACTCTTCGCCATGACACGGAAGTTGTCGTAGCTTCAGTGTACATGCTCACATCTGGACCAAACTGTACATGTAGGATGAGAGTCCCGCCCTGAACACATGTACATGCTGATATTCACCCACAGTCATAGCGCCACCTGCTGGCAACAGGAAGTGACTTTTAACGAAGCAGCCCCCGCCGCACGTTTCACCTACGTGCACGAATTTTCTGTGGTACGTGTATCTTGTCCAGACGCACAAAAAAGCCTCTTGGAGCAATGCCCTAAAACCAACAGGAAGTCGGCCATTTTGAATTTTAAGTCAAATTTTGGATGATTTACACACTTCGTACTTTAACGAACTCCTCCTAGGGATTTAGTCCGACCGACTTCAAATTTGTGCTGTGCCTTCTAAAGGCATTGAAGATGAAAAGTTGTGCTATTTGCGAGTTTTCGTCAATGGGTGTGTCCGTGGCGTGGCGTCAAAGATCAAGTCTTCGCCATGACACAGGAAGTTGTTGTAACTTCAGTGTACATGCTAACATCTGAACCAAACTTTACGTGCTTGATAACTCTCCCACCCCGCTATGGAGGACCGATCCTGACACAGTCAGAAATAAATACAGAAATAAATAAATGCTCAATAATAAATAAGCTTCCAATTAAATACACAAAAAAATAAAGTAAATTAAAGCTGCAAGCAGCGTTGGGCGGGCCCTCGCACTTATAAGCGCGTCCGCGTGTGAGCCGGCCGAGTTGCATATTCTGGAGCTCTGCCGGTGCGGCTGTGAATTTGCTACGCGGTTATGACGCCGCATGAAGGTGTTATATGTCACTTCCTGTGTCCCCTATGTGGAGCTACATAGCACTTGCCGCTATGAATATAAATCGGTGTTGGCGTGTAGATGTCTGCGGGGTGGGAGAGTTATCAAGCACGTAAAGTTTGTTTCAGATGTGAGCATGTACACTGAACAATAATGTACCCAAACAATAAAATAAATTCCTTTTATATTTCCCTGCCTTGTTGTTTATGTGTACATACAGAGGAAGAATGTGAGAACAGCACACATTTCATCGTTACTGTGTGCTGTACCGCAGTTCTGTGTCCATGCATGCAGCAAACTGAAAGCACCGTCTGTCGGAGCGTCTACGTGAAAAGAGAAGGAAGACATTGCTGGTAGTATTGTCTTCAGAGTTGTTAAACACCTCAGCGCACTGAAGGAAGCCATCTGACTGTGTGAGGGGCAAGATCGTTGATGTCTGCAGGCAGAGTAGGAGCTCTCCTGTCTGACTGGTCCACCAATAGCAGAGAAGATGACCCCTTGAGACACAGCCCCTCCTCATTTGCATAATGAGGCAGAAATGCATACAAAAATTTAAAAAAGACAGGCAGAAATAAATACCATGGGTGAAAATAAATAAGGTAAATAAATACAAAGGAAGAATAAAACAGACAAAAATATTAAAACACACATAAATAAATACATTAAAAAAATTTGTAATAAATAAAGTTGAATAAACAAATAAGGTAATTATAACAAAGGTGAATAGTAAAGGCACTAATTAAAATATATACATTTATGTCTCCTTGTATAATTTAATTACTACCTACATTTATTTATTTACTTTATTTTTTTGTGTATTTAATTGGATGCTTATTTATTTATTGAGCATTTATTTATTTCTGTATTTATTTCTGACTGTGTCAGGATCGGTCCTCCATAACGGGGTGGGAGAGTTATCAAGCACGTAAAGTTTGGTTCAGATGTGAGCATGTACACTGAAGTTACAACAACTTCCTGTGTCATGGCGAAGACTTGATCTCTGACGCCACGCCACGGACACACCCATTGACGAAAACTCGCAAATAGCACAACTTTTCATCTTCAATGCCTTTAGAAGGCACAGCACAAATTTGAAGTCGGTCGGACTAAATCCCTAGGAGGAGTTCGTTAAAGTACGAAGTGTGTAAATCATCCAAAATTTGACGTAAAATTCAAAATGGCCTACTTCCTGTTGATTTTAGGGCATCGCTCCAAGAGGCTTTTTTGTGCGTCTGGACAAGATACACGTACCACAGAAAATTCGTGCACGTAGGTAAAACGTGCGGCGGGGGCTGCTTCGTTAAAAGTCACTTCCTGTTGCCAGCAGGTGGCGCTATGACTGTCTGTGAATGTCAGCATGTACATGTGTTCAGGGCGGGACTCTCATCCTACATGTACAGTTTGGTGCAGATGTGAGCATGTACACTGAAGTTACGACAACTTCCGTGTCATGGCGAAGAGTTGATCTTTGACGCCACGCCACGGACACGCCCATTGACGAAAACTTGCAAATAGCACAACTTTTCATCTTCAATGCCTTTAGAAGGCACAGCACAAATTTGAGGTCGGTCGGACTAAATCCCTAGGAGGAGTTCGTTAAAGTACGAAGTGTGTAAATCATCCAAAATTTGACGTAAAATTCAAAATGGCCGACTTCCTGTTGGGTTTAGGCTATGGCTCCAAGAGACTTTTTTGTGCGTCTGGACAAGATACACGTACCACAGAAAATTCGTGCACGTAGGTAAAACGTGCGGCGGGGGCTGCTTCGTTAAAAGTCACTTCCTGTTGCCAGCAGGTGGCGCTATGACTGTCTGTGAATGTCAGCATGTACATGTGTTCAGGGCGGGACTCTCATCCTACATGTACAGTTTGGTGCAGATGTGAGCATGTACACTGAAGTTACGACAACTTCCGTGTCATGGCGAAGAGTTGATCTTTGACGCCACGCCACGGACACGCCCATTGACGAAAACTTGCAAATAGCACAACTTTTCATCTTCAATGCCTTTAGAAGGCACAGCACAAATTTGAGGTCGGTCGGACTAAATCCCTAGGAGGAGGAGTTAAAGTACGAAGTGTGTAAATCATCCAAAATTTGACGTAAAATTCAAAATGGCCGACTTCCTGTTGGGTTTAGGCTATGGCTCCAAGAGACTTTTTTGTGCGTCTGGACAAGATACACGTACCACAGAAAATTCGTGCACGTAGGTAAAACGTGCGGCGGGGGCTGCTTCGTTAAAATTCACTTCCTGTTGCCAGCAGGTGGCGCTATGACTGTGGGTGAATGTCAGCATGTACATGTGTTCAGGGCGGGACTCTCATCCTACATGTACAGTTTGGTCCAGATGTGAGCATGTACACTGAAGTTACGACAACTTCCGTGTCATGGCGAAGAGCTGATCTTTGACGCCACGCCACGGACACGCCCATTGACGAAAACTTGCAAATAGCACAACTTTTCATCTTCAATGCCTTTAGAAGGCACAGCACAAATTTGAGGTCGGTCGGACTAAATCCCTAGGAGGAGTTCGTTAAAGTACGAAGTGTGTAAATCATCCAAAATTTGACGTAAAATTCAAAATGGCCGACTTCCTGTTGGGTTTAGGCTATGGCTCCAAGAGACTTTTTTGTGCGTCTGGACAAGATACACGTACCACAGAAAATTCGTGCACGTAGGTGAAACGTGCGGCGGGGGCTGCTTCGTTAAAGGTCACTTTCTGTTGCCAGCAGGTGGCGCTATGACTGTGGGTGAATGTCGGCATGTACATGTGTTCAGGGCGGGACTCTCATCCTACATGTACAGTTTGGTCCGGATGTGAGCATGTACACTGAAGTTACAACAACTTCCTGTTTCATTGCGAATCATCGACGCCACGGACACGCCCATTGACGAAAACGCGCAAATAGCACAACTTTTCATCGTCAATGCCTTTAGAAGGCACAGCAGAAATTTGAGGTCGATCCGACTAAATCCCTAGGAGGAGTTCGTTAAAGTACGAAGTATGTAAATCATCCAAAAATGGCCATAAAATTCAAAATGGCCGACTTCCTGTTGACTTTAGGCTATGGGTTCTTGAGGCTTTTTTGTGCGTCTTGATACGATACATGTCCCCAGAAAATTTCGTACATGTAGGTTGAACGTGAACGAGGGGCTAATCATTTCCAATTTTCTAGGTGGCGCTAGCGAGTCATTTTGCCACGCCCATGTGCGAAACTTGTAGAATACGAAATTTTTCACCGGTTCTGACATGTTTGCAAATTTTGGTGAGTTTTCGAGTATGTTTAGGCCATGTCATTTGGGCCTACTTTGCAGAAAAAAAAAAAAAAAAAAAAAAAAAAAAAAAAATATAATCCGAGCAATTTCAATAGGGACCTCGCACGGTCGTGCTCGGGCCCTAATAATCCGAGCAAATTCAATAGGGACCTCGCACGGTCGTGCTCGGGCCCTAATAATCCGAGCAAATTCAATAGGGACCTCACACGGTCGTGCTCGGGCCCTAATAAATAAATAAATAAATAAATAAAATAATCCGAGCAAATTCAATAGGGACCTCACACGGTCATGCTCGGGCCCTAAAAAAATAATCCAAGCAAATTCAATAGGGACCTCGCACGGTCGTGCTCGGGCCCTAAATATATATAATCTTAGCAAATTCAATAGGGACCTCACACGGTCGTGCTCGGGCCCTAATAAAAAAAATAATCCGAGCAAATTCAATAGGGACCTCACACGGTCGTGCTCGGGCCCTAATAATCCGAGCAAATTCAATAGGGACCTCGCACGGTCGTGCTCGGGCCCTAATTAAAATCTTGGATCAAACACAGCAACTCCTTTTGGTATTGTATTCCAAATGCCTTATTCAAGAAAATTGGAGGATTAGAATTTCTTCTTAGAGCGGACTTTAGTGTTGACAAATTACCTATATCATTGTCAGAGTTTCACAGACAAATACTTGTATGGGAAAATGTTATATGTACATAACTTATCACCCCACACCTCTGCACTCTGGAACAACAGATATGTTTTGCACCGCAACAGATCTCTGTTCTTTGAAGATTGGTTTAGCTGACTTAATGGATACCAACGGACATTTTTTAAATTATGAACAATTTTGCATCAAACATAATTTCAAACCCTTAGAATCAGACTTTATTAAATCACATAGAGCACTACCCCAAAAATTTGTCTTTCTAACATGAAACATTTTGGCATATCATCCAATACAACCACAATTGGCCCCACTATCAATTCAAGGAATCTTTGTTGTGGATAGAAAATGCACAAACACACTTCAAAGTAATGAACAACATTTACCCCTCTAAAGAATTACTGAGACTTCGCTTTGGCATGGATGATAACACATGTACATTTTGTGAAAATGATATCGAAACTACGGACCATGTGTTTTTCTCACGTAATGTGATACAGACATTTTAGTGTGATATACATAAATGGGTTAAGCAACAGATGTCCTCATTCCCAACCTCTATCTCCAGAGACAACATAACATTTGGATTGATATTGCAAAGCAAGGGTGATGAGCTCTGTAGTATCACATAGTGTCACACAGGGGTAAACCCAACAGCGATAGCCATAGAGGGCGAAGCCTATACAAAATAGAACCAGAGGATTCTCAGGAAAGCATTCCTGTTCCAGTTGTTAGTGAGTTACAAACTGAACGTTGAGCCAATAATATATAGGCTGGCTGCAGTACTGCAGCTATATAATATTGTCCTGTTTTTAAAAACCCACTTATGTTAATGTTCAAGCTCATCTTAATTACATTTAATCAGGCACCACCATTGCCCAAGTGTATCTGCTGAAGGTTTATCAAGTGTAACACACAAAGCTACACCAATCAGACTCATTTAATAGCCCATCAAAATCAATCGTTTTGGTTTTAAAACCAAAAAACGTTATTTACGATTTGGTTTTGAAACAAAATTATGAAAGAACAAACCATACATGGATTATGGATCCTCACTTTGCTGCATTTTTAGAAACTATGATGAACTTATTTTGTGTTTTATTGATGTATAAGTGTTTTCTTTAACAATTTACTTTCATGATCAGGAAGGCAACTTTAAACGTTTCCATGCGCGCAATAAAGTCACAACAAATGTTGTGGGGCATTTAAGCAGGAAAACACAAAAACTGTAGTTATAAACTAGACATGACATGAAAAAGGAAACTCTCCAGACCTTTTGGTTGTGGAGAAGCACACAGAACATGAATTAATATTAGATCCTGATCGATCCTGTCGGGTTAGGGTTAGTTTCCAACTGACGCAGTTGTCATTTTCCCGCCCAGCGCCCACGTTGTTGGAATAGCAAATACACTTGCATCCATCTGAAATCGAGTTATCGTCATCACGCAGGTTTGATATATGTTAGAAAGTAATGTAGTGAAGCGCTGAATATCTAGCAGTATCTCCCCCACTGTGTGTTGTTTCAGTGTTATCAATGCTGTAGGTCAGGGGTCGGCAAATAAGTTTGATAAAAACAATTGTTAGGTTCCCGGTCAGTTCAGTCAGTAGTGCTCTGCACTAGTAATAGCAATTAGGGCTGAACGATTAATTGCATTTGCGATATTATGGCGATGTAATAAAACGAGATTTTCTAATCGCAAAGGCTGTGATTACACTCTGGTGACATGACACGCGAGAGTAAACCAGTCTGCAGAGAAAGCATCAACTTTGCACGTTACGCTGTACCTTGCTTTCTTGTTGTACAATGGCCTTAAGCTTGACAGAAGCTGACACTACATAAACTTTAGTGTCACACAAGACAGTAGCACCCTCCACCTGCGGGTAACTTGCTGGTGGTGGTGGGTGAAATCATCAGGCCATCCGCGGCTTTGACAGAGAGGAAAAATACACAACAGAAAGACACATGTAGTAAGTGTGACAGGAATTTCATGAGAAACCATCTTTAAAACACTGCCATGTAACTAATCTCACCAGCCTCTTGGGTATGGGGTCAATGGAAGGTAAATGTGTGTGATCCTTTAACATATGTCCAGAGGGGTCATGACTTTAGGTGGTTCACCACATGTACCTTGGACATGAGTGTCTTTCTATAGATCCCCTAGGGAACACTGAAAGACACCATGTTACTTTGATGAGATAGGACTCCAACCCTGAGACTAAGATAAAAGCTGCATGAGCTGTTACACTGCAGCTCACTCGGATGATACTCTCTGATGTGTATGTGTCCCGTGAGTTCCTTCTGCAGAAGACTTGAATAAAATTCACAGAAAGACAAGTGTTTGCCTGAGCTGTTTATTTGAAAACTCGAATTGCCATCAAACACACAGCCACCAGTCAGCTCAGGAAATATCTGTGAAACGGCGTTTCAGACCAAACGCACATGTCCGAAAGAGGCCCAGTCTGTCCCGAGTCGCAGCCTGGTTGCAGGCTACGGGAGTGGGGAACTCCAGGGATGTCGGGGAATTACTAAGCTTGTCTATTAAACACTTAATGAGAGGCAACACTTGGTTTTATTTTCGTTGGCCAACTTTTGAACTGAACCCCACACTGAGTATTTTTTGTTTGCTTACTGGGATACAGAAAGGCTCCTAGGAGATTTGAACTGAGATAAGGACGCATTAATTGGTGGTTGAACTGTTGAACTATTTTGTATTGAGCACTTACTGTGGTGAGTTAATGTTAGTTTTTCTTGTGGTCTGTAGGTAGGCCGACCTGATGATATTATATCATATTATTTAATGCAATGACTTGACTCAAATGATTTTCTCATATTATTACAATTTGATATATCTTCTCCACCATTGCTCATAATAATAATTCTACCTAATTCATCATAACACAGGCCTGACCCACAAGAAGGAACAGAGTATGATAAATCTATCTAATATTGTGTTGGTCATACTATACACTGATTTACTGCTTGTCCATTACACAAGGTAAAGAGCTTAAAAATGAATCGCATATTAAATCGCAATCTTGGTAAAAAAAAAAATTGCTATTAGATTATTTTCCAAAATCGTTCAGCCCTAATAGCAATGCTCCAAGGTACAAATGCACCTGGCTTTTAAAGGGAATGGGAGATGACACATGTTTGGTTCATGTTACACCCAAAACACACCCATGACTAATCGTTAAAATAGGGCCCTAGACCTGTATTTTTGGTCAATTGCTTCTCAAGATAGCAATGTGACAAAAATTTACCTGACCACACTTTTTAAGACCAACACTCCCATGGGCGCACAGATGGACGCAAGTATTTAAACAACATGGGCGAGAAAATGACAACTGCATCGGTTGGAAACTCACAATGTCACTTGCGCTGCTTTGCTCCGGGTGCAAGATAGGACCCAACATGTCACATTCTCACATACTCATACAGTGAAGCTGCCATGCAAAGTACCATTTGCCCTTAGAAAGAAACTAATCATTCACATATACTCACGCGCACACCAGGAGCAATTTGGGCTCAGTATCTTGCCCAAGGGCACTTTGACATGCAGACCAGAGGAGCCACCGGTCAAATCAAACAATATAAATTTTGGACAGAAAAAAACAACTAACCTGCTCCTTTTCTGGACAGAAGGACTCAGAATTATCCAAATCTGAAAGAGAGACAAACAAACCCCAAAATATTAGACCACAGCATCACACTATCACCACTGGATAGACATGTGCATGCAGAAATGCCAATGCATTTCTCTTGTCCTCTGCAGTGTGTGTTCTTGATATGAGAGAACACAAATAAACAAGGTGCCACAGTTGGCTGTGCTACTTTCTGACCAATATGTTTGTCTGTTTCTGTGTGTATATACACATATACATCACCTGCTGTCAGGCCAGGTGATGTATCTTTCATCATCTCTGGGTTGTTGTGATCCATCCCAGACGATACAGCAAAGCTGTAAACAGACGACCTCTCCATTAGTAGTGTTTCATTCTGCCATCAGAGATGCTTTTCAGGCTGGGGTGTTTGTGTGTGTATGATAGGGTTGTCTCATTTGTAACTCAGCAAAGTGTCACAGCTGGACATTGTGCCTAAAATATTAATATTTTAAGCCTTGATGAAACGGCGTTACAAAAAGATTTTTCTCATCAGAACAATCATTTAGACACCAGCCAAACCACCAAACGATGTCTGTACTTCTTCTTTTTAATTCTATGACACTGAAACACATTTCATCACCTGTGTTGTTTTTTTTTTTTCATTTTTAACAGGGAAAGTGCACATTCATATTTCAGATAGCATTGCTGTAAATGTTCCCAAGCTAGCTAAGAGGCTGCTTTTCATCTGTAGCCCCTGGACAGATGTTTCAGAGTGGCCCTACTCTACCTGCCGCCAACTTGGAACTCCCTGTTCATAATAGTTTTAGAATGGTCAACAGTGCTCCGTGTTTGCCTGATTTCCAGGACAATTTTGAGGTACTTTTGTACTTTACTTGAGTATTTCCATGTGATGCTACTGTATAGGCTACCTATATTCCCCCATATTTCAAAGGGAAATATTGTACTTTTTACTTCACTACATTTACCTTACGGCTACAGTTACTTTACAGATCCAGATTTCAAATCAAAGTAATGAATCAAGTGTGATTGTTATAGATTGTTGCTACTAACACTAACACTAAAATTGATGCATGCAAATATAACACTGACAGGGCAATTAATTAGTTATGATGGGAAGTATTTAAATGCTCCGTAATTGTATAGCGCCTTTCTAGTCTTTTTGAAAGCGCTTTTACACTTCACACAGCATCTGCATTCACACACAGCCTAAGTGCTCAAACAGAAACTAACATTCACACACATTCATACACTGAACACGGAACAGCCGCCAGGGGAAATTCGGGGTTCAGTATCTTGCCCAAGGACACTTCGACACGCAACCAGGGGGAGCCAGGGATTGAACCGCCGACCTTCCGATAACGGCCAACCCGCTCTAACTCCTGAGACACAGCAGCCCCATTTATAGTAACTTTAGCACATCATAGTAACTTTAGCACATCTTTGAATCTAAGACTTGTTATGGTGTATTTTAACATCACTGTAATGCTCCTTTTTTGTTAAGGATCAGAATAACGTCCTTCTTCCATTACTGCAAATCACAGGAGATTGCTAATAACGTTACCTTTTTATTTTAACAGTGGCACTGATTTCACCTGTGACTGTGGCAAAGAACCCACAGCATCCACTTCACCACGACGTAAGCTTTCTTAAAGTAGATGTTCCTAAAAGGAACGGCTTTGACTGGTTTAAGTAAAAAATCCCGAGCTAATGTTCACTATCTTCAAGGCATTATTCTTACTCAACGGCAGACATGGCGTCCAGCAAACCACCCCTTGTGCATTCTGGCGACACAACAGAAGAGCTGTTTTCACCGCTGACTTGTCTTTATTCATTAATGAGGAGCTGGAAGCTTCACATTAAGTTAACGTTGGTGTCAGTAATTCCGCAGAAGAACCGTTGTCAACAGTCGGTGCAGCTCAGCTTTCTTTTCCGTGTCTAAGTTACTAACTCATGTTTATCAGATTCCTTCACTCGAACGGCCGCCGATAGACAAGTATGATAGTACTGATTTACGCCTTTTCTAAGATGTACTTGTTAATCCCCAGCTCGTGAAGGGAGTGTGGTTTAAAATAGCATCTGCTAGCGAGGCCTGAAAACACAGGATGTAGCAGCAGCCAATCAGGAGAAAGCGTCCCCGGTTGTTATGGAAAACAGCGAAGCTATGATGGGCCTTTCCGAAACTTCTTGCAACTCCTTCTCCCTACCTACTTCCACTCTGCTTGCGCGTTCATGCAGAGGGTCCGCCACATTGAGTGCCATCCGAAACCAATGAGGGCGGAGTGGTAGTGGGTTGTTGAACCCTCCAATGCCGAGTGAGCACCGATGCAGGCTTGTTGAAGGTGTGTAACACCCTAAGCCGCACGATGGGGGACATTTCTTTCAAATTTGAGTTCCGTGTGACTTCGCTGGTTAACATGTAGGATTTTTAAATTCCGAAACTACACTAACATTTGGACGTCTTTAGGCCTATTTTAGGAGGGCTGAGGCCACAGAATCCTTCTGGTTGTTTCCTGTACTTCTAATTTAAATTCCTTCTGTGGTCGGGCACTAGGACTAGGGAGGCTGCCTTTCATCGCTGCTCTGCCGAGCTGCAGAGCGACGGTACTACACACACACAGATGCTGAAGAATATGGGGTTCCGTTTGTGCCAAAAATAAGTCGGCAAGCTTATTGTCTATGTCGATGCTTCACATGACTGTGTCAACTCAACTTGTTTATCTCGCTTGCCCTCCTTGTCCTTTGACTGTGATGTCTTCCTCTGTATTTGCTAACTGTGAATGGCCATGTGTCGTTAAAATGTGTCGTCTCCCTCTGTCGGTGCTTCGCCGTTACTACATGTTGTCTCCCCCTGTCGTTGCTATGTGTCGTTACTACATGTCTTCTCCCTCTGTCGTTGATATGTGTCCTTTCATTCTGTCGATGTGATTGTCCTCCTGATGTGTGGACTTGTGTTGACCAAATTTCCGAGCTACATTAATAGACCAGGCTAAAGGCGATTTTAATTTATTGAAACATATGCTTTAATGGGCTACATTATAGGCTAATTATAAAATGTTAATAATGGCATTACTATTAATCTAATAGCGCATTACCGTAGTTATTCATTTTCTCAAAATTACAATATAAATACCAGATTAACAATTCATCATCCATTGTAACAATACCATTAGCTCCCCAAAGTAGAGATAGTTTATTCTCATAACCAGACCTCAACAAGTACTTTACTATAGAATTCACTGTACACCTCATTGTAGTTTGGGGACGTCACTTCACTTAAAAGTAATGTGATTAAAAAGTCCATTTGTGTCTATGTTTTATTGTATTCCCAAAAAATCTGGTCTCTGTTTTGAAACATTCTCATTACAGTAAACAAAAAACTGAGGCTGTGCTACAAAGATGGACAGTAGATATCAGCAGAGGACACATAGTTACAGACCGGTTGTATTTGAGTCACTGAAGTGGAAAAGCCACTTTGCCATAAAGTAAGAAAGGATCTCACACACTGAAAAATCTGCTTTATGAAAAAAACAATTGTTTTTAGG